GAGTACCAGACCATCTCATTTGTCTCTTGAGAAACCTATATGCAGGTCAAGAAACAACAGTGAGAACTGGACACGGAACCACTGATTGATTCAAAATTGGGAAAGGAGTCCGGCAAGGCTGTATTCTGTCGCCCTGCCTATTTGACCTATATGCAGAGCACATCATGAGAAAGGCAGGGCTAGATGAATCAAAAGTTGGAATTAAGATTGCCGGGAGAAATATCAACAACCTAAGATATGCAGATGATACCACTCTAATGGCAGAAAGTGAAGAGGAACTAAAGAGCCTCTTGATGCGGGTGAAGAAGGAGAGTGCAAAAGTTGGCTTGAAACTCAACATTAAGAAAACAAGATCATGGCATCCAGCCTTCTCAATTCCTGGCAAATAGATGGGGAAGAAATGAAGGTAGTGACAGATTTTATCTTCCTGGGTCACCAAATATGGGGACTGCAGCCAAGAAATTAAAAGATGCTTGCTCCTGGGGAGGAAAGCTATGGCAAATCTAGACAGCATACTAAAAAGCAGAGACATCATCCTGACAACAAAAGTACATATAGTCAAGGCCATGGTTTCCCTAGTTGCAATGTATGGCTGTGAAAGTTGGACCATAAGAAAGGCTGAGCGCCAAAGAATTGAGGCCTTTGAACTATGGTGCTGGAGAAGACTCCTGCGAATCCCCTGGACTGCAAAGCGATCAAACCAGTCAGTCCTAGAGGAGATCAACCCTGACTGCTCTTTAGAAGGCCAGATCCTGAAGTTGAAACTCAAGTACTTTGGCCACCTAATGAGAAGGACTCACTGGGAAGAGCCTAATACTGGGAAAGATTGAGAGCAATAGAAGAAGGGGACGACAGAGAATGAGGTGGCTGGATGGAGTCACTGAAGCAGTAGGCATGAGCTTAAATAGACTCCAGAAGATGGTAGAGGACAGAAAGGCCTGGAGGAACGTTGTCCATGGGGTCACAATAGGTTGGACACGACTTCACAACTAACAACATTCCTTGTCTGGCCTTCATGCTTTGGAAAATAAATTGACCCCCTCCTCTCTGTGACAGCCCCTCAAAAATTGGAACACTGCTATCATGTCTCCGCTGGTCCGTCTCTTTACTAGACTAGTCATGCCCACTTCCTGTAACTGTTCTTCGTACATTTTAGCCTCCAGTCTCCTAATCATCCTTGTTCCTCTTCTCTGCACTCTCTCCAGAGTCTCAACATCTTTTTTATAGTGTGGAAACCAAAATTGATTGCAGTGTTCTAGGTGCGGCCTTATTAAGGCTTTATAGGAAACATATCAAACACAAGGCCCGTGGGTCGGATCCGGCCCGTGATTGGCCAATATTTGGCCCCAGGAATACCCCGGAGATGGGAGGGACTGCCCCCACCACCCTGGCCAGCCTGGCGGATTCCAAGGTTCACGCACAGGAGTGGTGAGCACAAGGGGGCCGACGGCATCCAGCAGCAGGGACTGCATAGTCTACTATGAATACTGGGCACTGGCAGCATGCGGAGTCGGTGGGGCACGTGATGTGGACCATGGGACACACCTATTCTGTCCCATATTTTTGAGAGCAGGTTGCCACTGGTCATCTCCTCAGCCCCATCAAGGGTCTTGCCCTTGGCCCGCTGGTGGAGTGCATTCCCTTATGCACCTTGGTACCTGCCATGGTTGCCAGCCACTTGCGCAGGTCTGTTAGGCTGCCACTCATAGCTACAGGCCCACCAAACATGAAGGAGGCGAAGTGGTTGGCTAGGAAGGCCCAAATAGAAGTGGTAGAGCATGCCCAAGGCCAACAGGCAAAAGGCCACCCCAAGTAGGGAAAGCCGGATCCCTATTGGCATCATGGCTGCTCAGGCAGCAGAGATGGGAGGAGGCACACAATCCTAGCTGAGACTGGGGGACCATGTGCCAATGGGGATCTGGTTTTCCCCGCCTGGGGTGGCCTTTTGCTTGCTGGCCCTGGACATGCTCTATCATCTCTACTCGAGCTTGCTAGCCAGCCATTTCGCCTCCTTTGTGCTGGGTGGGCCAGGTCCTTTAGGTGGTGGCAGCACTCTAATGGACTTGCAGGAGCTGCTGGTGGTGCCGGCCTGAGACGGGGCCAAGGTGCATTGGGTACACGAGGGGAACAAGCTCCATGCGCGGGCCAAGGGCAAGATCTGTGAGGGAGCTGAGGAGATGACCAGCAATGACCTGCTCTCCAACCACAAGCAAAAACAAATGGGATGGAGTAGGCGCACCAAGCGGTCTGCATCACGCACCTCCCCCTCCCCTATTCTGCCTGCTGCTGGAGGGCTGGCCCAGTATTTGCAGTGGGCTGTGGAGCCCCAAAGTGCGCTGGTCAAGAGGCTGGCAGGCTGTGGCTGCTGATGGACACCATCAACCCCCATGCACTCATTGGCTTCTGTGTGCGGGGGCCGATGGTGTCAGGCAACAGCTGTCCCGACCTCTGCCATGCCTTGCCCGTGGCAATGGCACCCCCACCCTGCTCCCTGCCTTGCTGCACCCTGCAGGATAATCCTCCTGCCACCACCCCACCCACCAGAGACCCCCTGGATCTCCCCTAACCCTGCACGGCCCCCACATGCTTCCCCCTATGAGCAACATTGAGATGGCCATGGCCACGTGGCTAAAACCACCCAGTCTGCCATGACAACTGTAGCCACGCCCACCCAATGGGCCACGCCCTCCCCCCCATGAGGGCATCACAATGCTGATGCGGCCTCAATGAAATTATAGAGCGGTATTAGTACCACACGTAACCTTCATTGAATTCCTCTTTTAATGCAACGTAGGAATGCATTGGCTTTTTTAGCTGCCTCCACATATTATTAGCTCATGTTTAATTGATTGTCCACTAAGACTCCAAGATCCCTCTCACAACTGCTGCTATTATGCCTGGTTTCACCCAATCTATATATGTACTTTCAATTTTTCTTGCCTAAATGTAAGACTTTACTTTTCTCTACGTTGAATTTCATTTTGTTAGAGAGGGCCCAGTGTTAATCTAAATAACAGAAATGATGCAGAATTCTAGATATATTTCATATTAATGCATGAGAGTAATTTTTCTGTAAGGAGTATGCATTTGCAAACAATTAATGGAATATTTTATTTATTATTTATGGGGTATTTTTCATTCTTATGATTATTGCTATCTATTCATTGAATCTTTCACATTTATAATTCTTATCAGAGTAATTAAATGGCTTTTTACTGAAGATATAAATAACCAATCTGAATGATATTCAGCTGATAAGATAATTATATAGAGAAACATACATCAACATGGATGTATATATTTTTTAAAAGGTCACAGCATATATTTGCTGATTTTATTTTCTCTGTTACGTTCTCAGAAGCTTCTGCTGGATTATACCCTCAAGCTGTGAAAGATATAATTCACTTCCTTTTTAGTATGAATAATACTGACATTTGACAGCTACCCAGATCTGATAGGGTTACACAACAGCCCATCCTTCCTATTCTCAATCCAATTAGACTTGTAATCTTCTAGATGAAAGGCCCACTCATGTTCCTCATGACTACTACGACAGCTATTGATTATTTGTCACTGCAGCTAACATCTTTCTAGAAGCCACTCTGACAGAAGCAAACCTCCCAAATTAGACAGCATGTTATCTGCCCTAGAGGCCAAATGGCACAACAAGTAAAGGCTAATAAATGGTATAAAAATGAACAAATCATAACATTATGACAGTTTGATCATTGCTAACAATTTTGCTGCCGAAACTTGACACTTTTTGGATCTGTTCCTTCTGTTATCTCTTCAAAATGTGCTCCAACTTTGATTAAATTAAAAGCCAAAAAAATTAAGGCATTTGACCACCATGGGTAAGCTAAGATGGATGTACTGTCTATACAAACATTCCAGACATGCAAAACTGATGTCTCATTTCTCCACTAGGTTGCACTCATATCCCTCAGCTCAAAAAGAAGCTGATAAAATTAACTTTCCAATTAACTGCTTATTGCAAATAGCAGAATATTTAAAAACATAAAATGTATGCTCCAATAATTACATGTGTCATGTTAAAAATTTTCTGCATTAAAAACACTTCTGTAAAGGCACAAGCAAAGGATTTATATCAAAACTGTGATAGAGAAATCTAAAGTAATCAAAGAAATAGTAACTATTTCAAGTTATATTGTTATTCCTGTATTCTTTTTTCAGTGTTTAGCAGTGTATCTGTGATGATTTTCAGGTGGGCCTGCACTAATCTTTAAAAGGTCTTCATAATTACAGATGTCAGAGTGATTGGTCTGTAGTCATTCAGCTCCCTAATATGAATGGAAAAAACTCACACAGGGCATAAAAGGATTGCAATTAATGAATAGTGTCTCTAAGTCCACATCACAAAATGTCTTTAGTGTAGTACCATTTTTACACCATCTATTGTACTAATTATCCTTTAAAATTAATGACATTTATAGTTTATGAAAGGCAATTTTGAATGTTAAAAACTTCTTTAAAAAGCATACAAGTACAAAAAAATCCACTGTGCTATTCAGCTTCCCCATTTTTTCCACTCAATTCTTAATAATACTTTCCTCCAGCAAATGTATTAACATGTGAAATATAGTAGTTACTTTCACTAATCTGGACTTTAAGGTCTTATTAATATAACCTGAGATAGATCAGCATTGTTAGTAGCTGCATCACATACTGGCTTAGATTCCACCCGCACCTCCATTCCAGTCACATATATTACTTATAGCAAGGGGGCTCTCATCTGTAATCCCTCAAATTAATTTGCTCATTACCAAAGAACTGTTGAATATTTATATTAATTTTGAACAACTCCTTGCTAAAGCCTTCTATTTTTAAATATTTTATTTAATTCCAAGAATAATTTGTCTTAGGGTAATAAAGAAGACAAAGGATGACGTTCATCTGAGAAATACAGATAAGGTTATCTTAGATACACAGAACTTCTGATTCCAATATGCACATCCAAGTTTTTAAAATTATTTAGTTACCTTTTGTGCAGCAAGATGGAGAGCTGTCCTCTGACTATGGTCGGCTTTATCAACATCTGTTCCTGTCTTCAATAAAGCCTCAGCACAATCTAGCCTATCAGCCAAGATGCAATACATGAGAGGAGTTCTTCCAAACTGGTCCTCTTTATCTTTCAGATCAGGATTGCCTAAGAATGTAAGCAATATCGTTAGGTTTTATACAGGCTTGCATGAACAGTATGCATATAACTTATGAAAAAAATATATGACTGAATGGCATATTTTAACAGGAAATGCTATCCTAGTAATTCAACATCAATAGACATGCGATGTCAGAATCCAATTATATTTCATCTTTAATTATCAAATATAGAAACTCCCAATTCTGCCTTCTCTGGATTCTGCCATAAGAGGGAGAGAAGGGGGAGAACAAAGGGGCTTTATGGCCCTCACTTCCTTCAGTATACTTCTAAGGAGTTGAATGCTGAATGTGTGTTTATTGTAACCTCAAAGCGTTAGCACCAAAGAACCTTACCATAACAAAGAAGGGTATTTGCCTTTCATGTAGTTTATCTGAAGTCTCCATCCAGACGGAAGAAAGAAAAAAGGGGGTGGAATTGTGATACCTGAAACTATCACTGGAAGGGGGGTTGATTGGGTGGGACTACTGGGGAACCCCTTAAAACCTTGAATGGGAGGGCTTGGACCCCAAGTCCTGTCTAGCACCCCTGCAACCACTTCTTCTTAATAAAGGATTCCTGTTGGAAGAATTATTCCAAGAGTTCTGTCTTCTTAAGATGCAAAGTGGGGTGGGTCCTTACATGCATATTAGTAAGATATTAGGAATGGTTTCATTAAGAAGACATTTTACAAATGTAAAGCTAGAATTCCTGGCAATGATTTACTTAATGTTATTTAAGGAGGCCAACAGAAGCAATCCTTTAAATTCCACAGGTATATATCTATCAATCAAATTTTACCAATAAGGAAATATGATAAAATCCATATTCTGAAATTGTTCTTGTGAAATAGCTGCCTAGAGTAGGAAGAAGAGCTAATAAGAAGTTAATATAAATGGTTATGAGGCCTACTCTATGCATGCGGACTTAGCCAGCAATAAAGACTTAGGCAAAACTACTATGTTTTGAATACAGGAACAATTACTGTATGTTATGTGATTTGCTCCCCTGTGCCTCTCTGAACAGAACCGGAAAATAAAGATTTTGCTTATTTGCTATGATATTGAACATTAGCTTTTGTCAGAACCCTATTATTTGGAGAGGGTGCTTTATTCTTTATTCCTGTGGGTTCTGCTATACTCCTGGGGGGAGGGGGGGAAGCCATGGGTGCTACGATGTATCTTCTTTGCTTAACTGTAGCTGCCACAATGTATCCTCTCCACTTTCCTCTATCTGCTTGCTCTTTGAACTATTTCCCTTGATACCAGCCTGGGGAAAGAATGGAATGTACCTCTGGCCATCTGGCTTATCTCTAGTTGTGGAAGAAGAGGTGCGAAGACCTAATGGCCTGACAATCTTGGGAACTGCATCATATCGTTCCCCATTCCCACAGCGGATTCACACCTGGAGATTGGCTCATTTGAACTGACCGGATGGACTATTGGGGTAGGGTTTTGCTAGTAGCTCCTTTAACCTATTGATTCGTGCAGGAAACCCTCAAATCCTGCCTTCTATGCCTGCTGTCAATTTCTCCTAATAAAAGTTCCTTTTGGAATGAAGATGTTCCAAGAGTTTTGCTTTCTTAGGAGGGGGGCTTGAGGCGAGTCCTTACAGCTCTATTTGGGAACAATAAGACTTGTACAAACTGATACTCTATTAATATTTTTATATTCTTGCTTTTATTGAGTTAAACCCAGAGTCATTTTGATAGTGAAATGAGCGGCATATAAATTTAATTAATAAATAAATACCATGACATGCTTTCTGAGGTTTCTATCAATTTGTTTTGTGATTTTAAGTCAAAGTGAAGATCTGAATATTTAACTTTGGTATATCCAGCCATGGAAATGGAATAATTAGAAGGATAAGCATACCGTTTCTCTGCTTCATTCAAAGGATGCTGGTATATATCAGTTAGGAACTTATCTCATATATATAGTTGGAATACTTGGCCTTAGAAATGTGTATGGAAGTTTGCCCTTGGGAATTTCTAAAAGATATAACTATGCATCAATGATAGGAGACATAGCATGGTCGAAGGAAGTATATTGAAACAAGCCTTGCTGAAAGAAATTCTAAATTTGTATGTGAAGATAATTTGCTCATTTGTTAGGCAAAAAAAATATCCAAACTGAAATGAGAATAGATCCTCTGAGCCTGAGATATTAGATTTTGGTGCTCAATATCATAAAACAATGGGAAAAGGCTTATTTTGCTTCTTTCTCTTTTTGATTAAGTAATTCAGATGAGAAGAGCTCTATCTCCATAACTATATTATTTGCAATTGACAGCCATGAATTATGGAAAGAATGTTGCAGTGACACTGAGAGGTAAGAGGATTCATGCTTGTAGCTTAATTTAGCCCATTTAGAAAAATGAATATTGCACTATTATTACAGGTAGTCGAGTCATGAATGTAATGGAGCCTGCCCATTCCATTTGTAACTCGAAAATTTGTGGGAGTAAATCTCGTACCTCAAACGAGATCATTCCTTGCTCATTAACACATGCGCGGCTCGTTAAGTGCACATGAGGTATCTCAGGGTTGGGAAGGCCATTGAGGGCCTAGTGATGGAACAGGCTCCCAAGGCTTCCCCAACCTACTAAGATACTTCATGCTTCTCCCTCCCTTACTCACTTACCTTGTAAGACCTGTCTCTTCTCTGCCGCAGTTTCTGCCTTTGAGGGAGAGGAGAGTTGATGGAAACTCCTGGGTGCCTGTAATATCATGCGAGTTCAGGCACCCATCCTCTTTTGCAGATAATGGGAACCTGAACTCTTGCGGTGTTTGCTCCCACCCCAACTCCTGCTGGAACAATTTTCACCAGGATGGAGATCTTGGGAACGCTGGAAGCTCCAACTGCATGCAAATGCATGCTTAGAAATGGAGCAAAACACTCTGTTTCTCAAGTGCCCCACTGGCAACCACATGGAACTTCCAGTCTCTGTCAGGTTTCCATCCAGGTAAAAAGAGTTTGAGCACCTATGGGGCGCTTGGAAATGAAGCATTCACTTAGTTCTCAAAACCCCCATAGATGCTGAAACACTTTTTAACCAAATGGAGACCTGACAGAGACTGCAAGCTCTATATGCCTGGAATGGGGCGCTTGGGAAACGGAGCCTTCTGCTCCATTTCTAAACACTCATTGGCAGTCAATGGAGTTCAGTCTCCCCAAGGTTTCCGGATAAAAAGTGTTTCAGCACCTATTTGTTGTTGTTGTTGTTAATTGCGAAGTCGTGTCCGACCCATTGCGACCCCATGGACAATGTTCCTCCAGGTCTTCCTGTCCTCTACCATCTTCTGGAGTCTATTTAAGTTCACACCTACAGCACCTATGGGCACTTCAAAACTCAAGCCATTGGCGGCAGCAACCATCTGAGTGGCCATGATCTTCTCTCCCCAGCCACACCGAGTGATCTACTCATTGTCTGTCAACTGGCACAAATCCTGACCGTTCTCCTCCTTGTCAACATCCCCACTCAAGCGACGGTAGCGGATTGAGTTTCTCGGCTCCATCTGAGTGGAAGAAAGCAGATACGCAGCAGCAGGATTTCTCTCAAGAAGACACAGGTGCACTGTTTGTTCACATGTACTGGACTTATTGAGAACAATCGTGCAGCTGCACCTCCACTTTTTTTCCACTTGGACAGAGCAGAGAAACCCAAGTTACTGGCTGTAGTGGCGGCAGCCACCTGAGCAGCCATGATCCCCTCTCCCCAGCCACCCTGCCCAACTTACTTGTTGCCTGGCTGGCCTGACCACTCTTCTCCTTGTTATCCTCCCTATTCAAGCGGTGACAGCAGCTTGAGTTTCTCGTCTCTGTCCGAGTGGAAAAAAGTGGAAGTGCAGCAGCAGGATTGCTCTCAATAAGGCCAGTGCATGTGAGCGAGCAGTGCACGTGGATCTTCTTGAGAGCAATCCTTCTGCTGCGACTCTGCTTTATTTCAGTTTGGACTGTGCCAAGAAACTCAAGCCGCTGTTGCCGCTTGAGTGGGGAGGACTACAAGGAGAAGCGTGATTAGGATTTGTGCGAGCTAGGCAAGAAAGCAACAAGTAGGTTGGGCGGGGTGGTTGGCTGGCTGGGGAGGGGGGAATGGCTACTTAGGTGGGTGCTACTGCCTCCAGCAGCAGCTTAGACGCAGGTACAAGGGGCCTGGCTCAGCGATGTTTCCCTGCTCAATTAAAGGCTTTATTTCTGCCCTCCAACTAACGCCGGCGCGCACGAGTGAGCAGCATACCCGGCAATGGATAGCAGTGGTTCCTGTGCCCTGCCAATTCCAATTACACGCTTTGCCCCATAGGCATGTAAAGGAAGCAAACAATTCCTGCCCCAGAAAGGAATCTTCTGGGGGCCATGATCTTCAATCAGGTCTTCAATCCATTGAATAAGTGGAGCAATTCATTTATTTTTCTAATGCCACAATATCTTTTAGTCATATTAACGGCACAGAGAATTCATTAATTTTACTTTGACTGTTGGTAAAATTCCATGTACTAAAATTCCTGCCCACTGTCCCACCCGCCAGAGACCCCCTGGATCTCCACCAATCCTGCCTGGCGCCCTCAGGCATCTCTCCCCAACATTGAGCTGGCCATGCCCACCCTGGCCATGTCCACCCAGTCTGCCATGACCACTGTAGCCACACCCACCCAGTGGGCCACGCCCGCCCAGCAATACATAAGTGGGTTTTGGGTTGTAGTTTGGGTACTCGGTCTCTAAAAGATTCGCCCCCACTGATTTAGGGCTTGTCTCCAAGGGATCTTCTAAAATAAATGTAAAATTCCATGTACTACACATATAGCTCAAAAGAATATTATCCCCTGAAAATTTTAGCTTTTTTATATATAAATGTTTTATTAAGTTTTTATAGTTACAAGTCTTTAGTCTTTAATAAACAATGTGTAGTCTGGGTTCACATATTTAACATTAATAATAATATAACTTCCACTTCTACTCTCTACTCCATTTTTTCCAGCCATTTATAGAAATTATTCCATGTTTGGAAAT